GATTTAGGATAGAGCTTAGTAAATTTTAAAAAGGCCATTTGTGTTGTACTTGCCTGTTATTCAACTGGATTGAACCTGATAAGCCAAGCGGTCCCTTTTTGATTCTATTTCCTGTGCTTTCCGCATTGCCTTATCAGAGCTACTCCCTTTCATGCAGAAGCCAGATAAATTGTGAATAGAGTACCAGTGTGATGAGCTTTTCAAGCTTTTCAGCTTTGATCCCATGGATTTTTCATGGAGGCTTCATTCATTACCAAAAAAAAAAAAAAAAAAAAAAAAAAATCAAGGGAAGATAATTCATGCAAAACGTCTGCAAACATGCAGTAGTATAGATGAAATTTCACATAAGACAGAGCTTATTGACATAGAGTAGATGTTCTCACAGCATCTGCCTTTGTTGGAAGACTGTTTCAATCTTTCAAATGTGGGGAAATGTTCTGAGATTTAAGAACTTAAGGAGACTGTCTGAAATGAAAATGGCTTGTCCTTTCCTGGCATTGCACAGGGCTATGGGGGATGATATCAGATTTGCTGCAATAGGAAATTTCAGGGAAGCAAAAAGAGCAATCGTTGAAGTAGAAACTTCTTGTAGGTGCATTTCTGATAAYTGGCCACACCATTGCACTAGCTACGCCCGATTTTTGTATCCTCCTCTGCTGGACAGGTACCTCTTGTGCCTGCTCTAAATTTTCAGTGGATTTTAACCCTCTTAGTGAAACATTTTGTCTAAAATCTCCTGGTGTGGACATGACTGGAACAGAAAGAGGGAAAGAGAAGTTCTTCTTTATAGATTAGGCCTTTGGAGATGGCTTGAAGGCATCCTCTAGCAGGAGACAAATTCCCAAGGACAGGCTGGACCCCAGAGGAACATGAGCAGCATGTGATGACAGGCCCCTTAGTGAGGGGGAATACTTGTATAGTCACAGTGCCTGTTTAATAAAACATCCTCATTCATTCCATTGTAGATGGACATTCTATTAATTCTATTCTATTAGCCACTGCTTTCCACCTCTCAAGTCTGCATCATTTCTGAGAAGYTGAGGAATACTTTGCAAAGGATAATGTAATTACACCTCCTGCAAGTAATCTCCTTTTTTTATAGGTAGAGGAACCGAAATGTGGAGAGCCCAAAAGATCTGTCCCAAGAAAGGAGTCCTCACCTACCTAGTCACCAGGCATTCATTTTCTTCGATAAATATGAAACTTCTAACTGGATGGGTTCCTGCTTCACGCAAGTATTTATACATGTGCATATAGGTACAGGCATACATCTCTCTCTCTCTCTACGTACTCAGACATATACACCCACATATATACAGATGTTTCTGCAAAAGAGAAGAAAAGAAAGGACAGATCTTTACCTCTTTCTGCTGAGGCTGCGCAGGTAGCGGGAGGCGCGGAAGGTGCTCGCCGAAGGGCTGGGTTTAGCACAGACCCTCACGCATACGGGGTGCCCAGCTCCGTCCGCGTTGGGCGCTCAGGAGCGATCCGTGTCTGTGGGAGGACCCTGGGCAGGACAAGGAAACCTCAGCCAGCTCCCAGGAACTCAGCCTCCCGCTGTGGTCTGACGCGGGCTCGCTGGCTGGAGATTCCCTCCAGCCCTAAGGACGGATGCTGGGGGGAGCCCGGCTCCCGAGCTGCTCCTGATATGCACTGGCAGCTGTCCGCCTGCTATTCTTTTAAAGAGTCTTCGTGGATCAGGATAAAAGTGTGATCTTACGCAGGCGGCATTGTAAGCACAACTTGGCTCAAGTTCAGCTCTTCCTCTGGCTCCCAGCTACTCTATTTTTAATGAAGGAATTCGAGGCTATCAGAAAGGAAGCTAAATTGTTTTAGGAAAACAATAGAAAAGCAACTTAAAGTTTATTAGTTTCCTGCTCAGGGCCTGGGACCTACTTGTCAAACTTATTAGAGCGGTGGCAGAGCTATTTATTTAAAAGGGCCAGCGACAAGGCTCACAATTTCAATCCTGTTTTGGCCTCAGTGAAAACAAAGGAAAGCCATTAAATAATATCTGAAGGGAGCAGATGGCTAGCTGGTAAAATGGTGCAAGTAAGGTTGTCCTGTGAGCCATTCATGCTCTCCACCAGTGCAATGGCTTTGGTGGGATTCTGTTATCGAATGAATGCCCAGCCCTGTATTCACAGCCCAGCCCCCCACCCCAAATTCTTTAATGTGGCCCAAATCTTCAAATAGAAATCTCACATCTGAGATTACACATTTGGCAGGAAAAGGTCTTCATTTTAAGCTGCAGCAAGGAGCAGAACAATACAGGAGGCCTGCAAAAGTGCCAGGAATAGAACCCAGGTGTCCTCGATCCTATGGGAGTGCCTGAGCCCCCAGACTCTAAATATATTTATATCCCTCTGAAGCAGCTGCAGCCTGCTTCCCCATTCAGCTAGCCCAAAGTAGCGGTGCCGTGAAGTCACTGGATACTTGCTGGCATGCAGCTAGGGAGAAGAACGGACAGCCAAGATTAGACTTGCATGTAGAAAATGTTCATGCTGACTCTTTCTAAGAAGTTTCATCATTTTCAAAGTATCAAGAAGAGAACAAGCACCTGAGAAGCATTTACAAACTCTGCTTAATGCAGAACCCTTTTTCAGAGGGCTCTCCGCTAACAGTTTTTAACCCGCTTCCAGGAAACATATAGGAAGAACTCACCTTTTCCATAAATGGGGCAGTATGGTCTCTAAAAAATTAGATGCAGAGAGGTACTGAGCACACACAGCTGTGCCAGAAGGCTTTGAACAGCTCAGTAATTTTGTTTCAGACAAAAGGAAGAGCTCACCTCAAAAATTCTCTTTCTTTGCCTTCTCATCAGTTTAGCTAATGCCAAACTACACGGTTCTGTGACGTCTAGGGCAATAATGCATCTTGCATTAGCAGGTGTTAGTAGGACTTGACTTATTTTTTCCTTTTAATTTATTTGGGTTAAATGCTTACAAGACGGTCAAAGTGAGTGCATGAGCTCTGAAAGGGCCCAATAAACTGGATCTTAACSTTGCTAGTTTAAACAAATAATCCAGGTAAGTACATAGTACAGTACAACATCCTAATTCAYTACAATCTGTAGGTGTTTACTTAATTTTAAGTACATGCTCGAGTTGCATTGGTTTCAGTGACAGCTGCCTCAAGGTTACATATCCTACATCACTAACCAGACGATCTTTGCTGAGGGAATTCCCTGGCAGGCAGCAGTTATTTGGTATAGTTCCGAGCTATAGTGCCTCTGTGTAAAGGACACCACACGTAAGTCACATGGTGATGTTCTGGCAATCCAAAATGCCTTATTTGTACTAAATTGCAACCTGTCTCATCTGGACTGGTGTCACTTAATTCACGCTTTCTTCTTGTAAGCAGAATTTCCACCTCAAACATCATGTTGTGCCTTTTTGACAGTTGCTCACCACAGTTGGACTCTCAGTAATTCCTGAGACTGGGATCCTGCGTCAACTTGGTCATGTGAGTAACTTCCTACAGTTATGGCTTGGGGCCATTCACGCGGGTAAAGATCCCTCTGTGTACAAATGTGGTAGACTGGAAAATGTTGTAAACCATTGCAGCTCCTACTTTTATTTCCAAGAACCAAAACAGTTGCCCAGGGCCTCCCGGGAGAGCAGAGGGTCTCAGCTGGCAGAAGGCAGAGGTGTTGCGGGTCCTCTCACTCTCTTTGGCTGCTATGCCATGTGCACTACCGGCCATGTGGTGCCAGCGCCAGCACTCGGATAGTGGGGCGTGCTCTTCCGTGAGTGGGGTTACACAGAGAGCTATAGGGCTGCAGGACCCCTCAGCTGTAAAGCTTGAGGGCTTAGAAAAGAGGTGGCATTAGCAATGCCAAGAATCAAAGACACCTTTCTCTGCATAAAGAACTTTTCTTGACTGTGGGGTGGGAGGAACTGAGACCTTCTCTATGCATTCTCTGCTGGAGATAGAGAAATCTGGACCTGAATTTCATCTGGAGGGCCAGAGCTATAGAGCTTTCCTTGGGGGTCAGCTGCAAAGGCAGAAAGAGTAAAAGCATTTGAGGAAAAAAAATAAAAAAAGAGAGAGATATACATGCTTGGCCAGTGGTGAGCAGGGCTCAAAAGAAAAAAGCCTGAATTAAGTCTCAGATGATAGTGCTTTTTTCCTTCCAGCCAGTTTGTTCTCTTTTATGACGGCCTGAAACCATTTCAAAACATGACCTTCTGGGTTAAATTACCGATTTAACTAGTTACATAAACTTAAGAGCAGTGGCTCTTCTCACCCCTTTTGGTTGGATCCTGAAGCCTACTGTGAACAATGCAGATTATAGCAAACGGAGAGGGCCAGAAGACCCTGCTGGCTCGAGGAGAACAGAATGATATTTTGTGTCAGAAGACCAACTGTCCATGCTTTTGGCATGCATGGCCACACACAAAATGAAGATTTAGTTCTTTCATTGGCAGGAGCTTGCAAGCTAGACTAACTCCCAGCCATGTGGAACATGGCACCCAGGGAAGTTCCCYAAAAGAGCCCGCTCTATCCAAAGTGTGCCATGAGGTCAGCTTGAGTTGTGAGAGGGAAGTGAGCAGCCCTTCTGCTCGTGCTGGAACATGTATCTGGCTGCACAGAAGCAAATAGACACATAGGGCTGCATCCAGCACCTACGCTTTCCAGCCTGAATATTAACTAGAGAAAAGCTTAAATCTTGGGAAGGGTCTGCATTTAGCTTTGTTTTCTGGAAGGATGAAGGACTTAGTCAATTGAAACCTCTGTAATTGTGTTTCTGGACACCTGGGTTTCCTGGCAAAAGGCGGTCTGCTCAACACTTTGCAGCAGCCTGCTCTCCCCAGGAGAGGTGGCAGTCCGCAGAGGATGCAGGTGTGACTGTTAGTCACCTGCAGGCACAAAGAGAAGGAAGTGACTGCCATCACTGCACCGCAGCAGCCAGCTGGGGCCATGCAGACCACTCAGAAACCGCAGGGCTCTCCAGGTGGCCACAAGCTCTCCTCACATTTAAAGCTGTGAGGAGCAGGGTCTGGGAAATCCTCTGAGCACTAACTACAGCACTGCCAGTCATCTAACACATGGCCTTCCCCAGGTTCTACTCCCTTGTTCCTCGTATATAATGGTATGTACTGTGTTCTGATCTTAAGTATTAAATGCTCCCTATAAATCCAGGGATTTCATCCTCACCAGGACCCTTTGCACATCGTAGGTTCTTGATTTTGCCAGTGCCAAAAGATACAAAATGAAGTTTGATCGTAGGACAGCTAGAAGAAAACCATATGCAAATTTGTCAGCCTGCACTGAGATGTTTCCTTGGTGGGTCTCTGTTTTTTTCTTTTCTCCAGTTCTGTGATTGACGGATGAAATCAAAGTGGGCTTGCACTACTCTAAGACTCCTAAATGAGCTTCTGCAGAAACCTGGTAATAAAATCTGCTTAGTTAGCAATATCAGACAAGAGTGTGTTTGTTTGCTGTCACTCATTGTTTTTCTTAAAAAGGTGATCTTTCTTAAAAAGATCTTTAAACTTGTTTGAAACAAGAACAAGCTGAGGTAGCTATAGAATTACAGGTTTTGAGCTTTCAATTGTGTACTCAAATACAGAGTTTGTCTGATTGGAGAGGAAACACAAACCTCATTTTCATATTCYTCAAACCCTTCCCCCCTCACACTCCAAACTGAGAAATGATAAAAATGACTATAGAAATCATGAGATTTTTTTTTCTTGGTTTGGGATGATATTTTGTGGCTTTCTGCATGTGTGAGAGACTGAGATGTCTCAGTAATGAATGCTAGTAGGATAGGTGGTTTTTGCATGTGATACCCATGTGAATGATATCTGAAGGAGGAAAATAAATGGGTTCTTTCAGATCAAAAGGAACTCAAGACTGATTTTTTGACAGTGCAGTCAGTATTTAGCAGTGTTGTCACCAAACCAGGGACACCATAGGATGTAACCACTGAAAGGGCATTTCAGAATATGAATGGTAGGGTGTTTAGAAGAACCAGAAAACAGGAAACAGGGAAGCCTTGATGTTGTCTACAGTTCCCACGCTCTTTCCATGCTTTCAGAACAGCCTTATGAAGAACCAAGTTTATCAGGGAAAGTAATAATTCAACATAGCAGAGAAGAAAGAGGTTTTGCAGCATACTTCATGAAATGGTATAGAATCACTCAACTAACAACTGGTGAAAAGTTCTTAAATAATCTCACCTTCCTGAGTCAGCATTTCTAATGTCAATAATTTTATTAATAATGATAATTGTGGTCTGAGATTTGCTGGAGGAGGATGGATGCATGCATGCAATTGAGGAGAAAATCTAAAAAGCTCAGAATTATGCAGTAGGAAAACGATGAAGTAACATTATATTTACTGAGTTGAAAATTCTGCACTCCTTTCTGCAATTCCTGGTTATTTGGAAAACATGGGAGTGTTGCCTTGAGAGTAGATTGTTGGGCTGKTAATGACATCAGATTCTTAGGAGTTGGAGAACTCCTCAGGTGCCAAGATTCATTGTAGACCCTGAAACTGTTTCTCCTGAAGCTACTGTAGCTGACCTGTTTGAGTCAAATGAGATGCTTTTTCTTGCACCTCCTACATTCCCATCCTGAAAACATTTGAGAGAAGTTCTGCCATTCCTATCCAACAGGTCTGGGCAGATATAAGCTAATCTTCTAGTCAATTCTTTCAAATCCAGGCTACAGAATTTTCTTTCCAACTGAACAATCCTTCCCATTTTCATTCCTTGATTCAGATCCTTGTGATTATCTCTGCATACAAAGATATCTTGAGAAATCACTTCATATAGTTAAAAGGAATTACTTTCCAATCTGAAAAGTGGACTACAGTGTTGATTCTCTCTCAGGCCTGAACCATACCTTGTTTCCAGGTACAACAAAGATGTGAGATGGTTCAGCTGTGAGAGTGGAAGAAGATGGAGTTTAAGAAATTTAATGTAATTCCAACATTAATATCATCTGACCTTGTTAACTGCCAGATACTTCCAAAGATCACAGTTACTGGGTCTACAGCTTCTTTTACTCTTCTGCTAAGTTGCTGAAACCAGCTGGTGATAGTTACAGATGACTTGCAGTATTTCCAGTTCCTGAAACAGTTGGTGACATATTAACTGTGGCTGATACGGAAGACCTCATTCTGAATTAAGTTGTAAACTGCAGAGAAAGCCCATCACTTATTTACCTTAAGCTATTTTATGACCCTGTGAACTCTGAGACTGCTTGAGGCTTCCTGCATTACACAGAGCAGCCCTCAAATTGCCCTTTCTGAAAACAGGCTGCAGTTTTGCTTTCAAGTGCAGAGCTTTGCCAGAGTCTAGACTAGACTCTTAGATTGACTAGTACTGGTATTAAAGATACTGCTGGAAGCACTGGTGTCAAAAAGGAAACCTGGTCTCAGCTGATGAAGTTAAAAAGCAAGAAGTTGTAATTCCTGAGCTCCCTTCCAACCTGAATTATGCCATTATATAATGGGATGAGATCAGAACAGCTTCTGTACAGGATAATCACACCAGTATATAGGATTTCTTCAGCACATCAAGGGAAGGAGTGAAAGAAGATTTTTTTTTCATTTGCTTTTTCAAAAAGTTACTTAGGTAAAGCTATGTAGGAAGTCAAGTGACCTTGGCTTAAGGATGAGATTTTGATACAGATCATGAACTGGTAAAAGAAGGAAAGGAAATTACCAAAGTAGCTAGACTGTCTAATAATAGAGAGATTAATAAAGTAAAAAAAGTATTGTAGCAGAAATGTTATTTAAAATATATATTAGTGAGTGGGAAAGGGATAAGAATGTGGCTAAATTTGCAACTAAACAAATATATCTGTCTAGGTATCTATCTGTCTGGTACAGATATCAATGTATATCTGGCTCTATACATTGAAATGCCTCAGCTTCAATAACTTTCCTAATTTGGGGGTTAGATTGCTCCTTGAAGAAGAGTCTTTTGGACGTCTTTGTTTATATATATACACACACACACACACACACACACACACACACATATATATATGTGCATATATATATACACATACATATATATATTTCCATATACACAGACACACATACACACATACACACATACACACATACACACATATCTATATACAGCATATATATAGTATATGTGTAAATATATATGTATAAGTGGAGTTCTGTCAGAGTAGTTTTTTTGTTTCATTTGAGTGGGTTTTTCTGGTTAGAAAAGGGTAACAACACCCATTCTTAAAGCAGAAAGAGTTTATCAGTGATGAAGACCCTCCAAAATGGGTGCCTACATTCTTGATTTGTTTGGTTGCTTCTGGAAGATTGTGTCATGGTTGAGACTTCTTTGATGGAGGAACTTGTCCCCAGGTCCCACATAGATCATATTTGTATGAGTTCCTGTTTGGGTTAGAGAATAGTTGTTGAAGTGGTTCATAGATTGACGCTTTGCTTTCAATGTGCCAGGGTGTGCTTGAGCACAGCCACATCCCTTGGTCTGAGACATCATGCCCTGTGTGGGTGGTAATTGGACTCATGTGATGGAGTAACCTTACATGGCCAGGAGACTGTGCAGTGTGGTTGCGACTGGAAATCATGGAGGAGTACAGGCCACTGCACTGTCAAGGGAAGCACATGCACTTTAAAGTACTCCAGACTCCCGTATAAAGTTAACCCTTCCTGGAAAAAGCTGTAGGAAGCATTCCTGTGAGCAGCTCCCTGACAAGGGAGACATGGTCACTCAACAGGAAATGAGGGCTTGACGCTGCAGGCAGAGGTTCTTTGGTTTGACCAACGTTGAGGGAAAGACAGTGTCTGGACAGTAGTCCGTGACTGCTCTGTTCACTGGCAAATGACCTGGCACAGCTTGTGTCCATAGGGCTCCACTCTTCCAGCCCAGCACCCCAAAGTGAGTCCTGTTGTCCATGCTGCCCACTGGGAGCTGTACTTAGTGAGCCTAGAACCAATGCCATCCCAGAAGGGTGAAATTGGCCTGGAGAGAAACTTCCAGGAAGCATGCTGCCAGGTAAATAACATTGCTGATGGCAGGACAGCGGAGCCTGTGCCTTCATCCTGTAAGTTATATGTGTACCTCCAGCGTCTGAGAGCAAGCAAGGCTTGGAACAGGAAGAAGGTCAGAGAAGTGTTGAAAATATGATCATGCCACTGAGCTCAAGGAGATAGAAGCAGTTCTTTAAATTGCAGCCTGCTACATTTATTGGATTGCTTTCTGGACTCTGGAATAATGGGTAAAATGATTTATTCTTGGACTCCTGACTGGTAAGGATTTAACTGACCCCTAGGTTCCTGAGCAAAGCAGGAGCAGCTTTGTTTATGTCTGGATTGACATGCATATAGTGCTAGGGTTTGTGTTTGCCATGCCAAGGGGTTCCAGAGTGTACTGCCCACTATGTTTGTATGGGCAGAGCAAGCCAGGCTCTGGGCATCATCTCATGCTCCGGGCATGCCTTGCTCTAGAGTAGGAATTCAGTAAAAGCTAGCACAGAAGCAGTCCTGAAGCAACATTAGAGGATGTCCATCATCTTTAAAAAAACAAACAAATAGAAATCCCCCAAACTAACCTGGTTATTGTAGAAGGACTATCATCCTTTAAAAAATGTCTAATGCATTATAGGTTAGCTGTCCATTTGTTACAAATTGGAGGGGGAGAACCTTAGATAAGTCAGGACTGTTTTTAAACTGAGAAGATTAGAAATGCTTGGAAAATATGAAGTAGGAAAGCCTGCAGAAAAGCTGGTTCACTGACAATATTATCAGATTGTGAGTATTCTGACACAGACAGACATGAAGCAAAGTTACAGAGAGTGTTTCTGGATGCTGGAGTAAGTATTCAGCATCTGCACAGAGCATGCCCTACATCTGAAGATCCACAGTGCTATGCAAAGCACTGGGTGCATTCATTTGGTGAATTCACTTGCTGAGATTTGTCAAGTCAGTGCCTGAAGGAGTTTCATTTTTCTTTTTGTCTTAAGGGTCAATAAGACTAAAAGTCCCCAAATGTATATATAAGGTGGTGACCTACAAAGAATATAAAATCAGAAGCCAGTTGTATAATCTAGGGGAGATCCAGCAACATTTTGGTTGTCAGACAGTGTGGTCAGTGGTCACCATTTATCCTCTACTGAGTCAGATCTGATGTGCTCAAGTGTGGAGTATGTTGCTTTTGAGTGCACTGAGAGTTATCAAGAAGTCTAAATTTTGCTTCATTCCTACCTTGAGCTAGCAGGAAACTGAGTAACTGTCAATCGGTTTGGACAAGATTTATGTTTTTCAGAATGAGGAGTTACCAGCATATCAATAATTTAACTGGAAATTATATATTTGGCCATACATTTGCCTGACTCTGCTAAACGGAGAAGAAATACACTCATCTGGCCATGGTAGCTAGTGCAGGCTACAGCCCAGCCTGGATTGCACAGCCAGCCCAGGAAGGGGGATAAAGACATGGGCTGTGAGCCTGTTCTCCACACTGCACTGCAGCGTTTTCCAGAACCCAGTCTGGCTCATTTACCACCAGCCTGGGTATGTATGTCTTATAGGAGCTGATATCATGGATAGAGGTGTATGTATGTCTATAGGACTGGTRCTTGAAGAAAAGTCCAGAGAGTTTTAGCAGATGGGGCTGTTTTCTTTCTGGGCCTCTCTGAACTCAGCGGAGCCTGAACTCGGTCAGAAGAAAGGCAGGATTGCAGATGTGCTGGGGGCCTCCGCGGTGTTTGCTGGTCTCAGAACAAGGTTCTTGGTTTGAATGCCTTTCCCTGACTATCGCACACACCATCTCTGGTTCCCAGAGACCCCTCTGCTCAGCTCAGTGATAAAAGCACTTTTTAACACCAAAGCTGCTGTGTTCCCACGCCTGGTGCTGTCATGAGGGAGGCCGGTCTTAAACAATAGTGGAGGAGTAAAGAATAGCCTCCCTAATCCATATCCTGCCTAGACGCTGAGTCAGGTGGCAGCTTGGGCCTCTTTAAAATTCCTGCATTGTTGCTGATTTTTCATTTGGCTCATGTAAACTTTTATCTTCAAGGCAAGAAAACACACAGGACCACCTGCATCTACCCCGCTCTTCYCATCCTCCCCTACTCAGTTCTGGTGGTGGTCTCACAGATTCACAGAATATTTATTTATTTAAGGTTGGAAGGGACCTCTACAGATCATCTAGTCCAACCTTCCTGCTCAAGCAGGCACACCTACAGCATGTGGCACAGGGTGGCATCCAGGCGGGTTTTGAAGACCTCCAGAGTAGGAGACTCCACAACTCCCCTGGGCAGCCTGTTCCACTGCTCTGTCACCCTAACAGTAAAGAAGTTGCTCCTCACCTGGAGACGGAACTTCCTGTGCTYCAGCTTRTGGCCATTACCCCTCRTCCTATCGCTGGCCACCAGTGAAAACAGCYTGTCCCCTTCCTCCCTGCATTCTSCCTTCCTGAACTTATACATATTAATCAGATCCCCTCTGAGCCGTCTCTTCTCCAGAGAAAACAGGCCCAGCTCACTCAGCCTCTCTTCATACGAGAGATGTTCCATTGTCTCCTCAAGTTCCACTTGTCTCCTCAAGTAGCCACTAGCAGAGAAGGATACAGATGTAATTTGCTAGTCTGCACTTGGAGCTCAGTAGGGTATGTTACAGTTAGAGCAAGGTGGAAGTGGTCTAAGCAGGGTACCCCATCTCTCATGTCTCCTCAAAACTCTGAAATACTGGGGTTTTTTTTTGCATATAATATATATACACACACTAGTGTATATCATACTTATATACTATATATATTAGGGTGTGTGTATATATATATATATACACACTACTGATCTTAAAATGGTCAGAAGGAAAGACAAGAACGCAGACATGTTTCTAGAAAATTTCCCCATATATGTTGAAGCTTTGGAAGGTTGCTAGACAATTTGTGTGTGAACAGACAGTTGGAAAATTGACTAAAACAATATTTCTTTAATCAAACTGTGCAAGATTCTGTAGCCCAGGTTCTTGAATCCATCTCAGTTGCACTGAAAACTGGGAGTTTTCCCAAAAAAAGGGTGCCAGCACAGTTTTATGTGATCTCTGAATCTCACTGYGCCTGCAGGCCAGTGTGGGATTTTTTCATCTCCTGTTGTAAATCAGAGTCGCCTGGTGCTCTCTTTAGCCAGCCTGGAGCAGAGGGCTTGTAGCTCTGCTCTTTTCCCTGGCCACAAGCCCTGTACCCAAAGCTGCAAAGGAGAAAGTCATAGATCCCTTCAGGATTTTCCTTATAGTTGAAGGGTCCCTAGGAAATGTTTGTGTTTTTTTTGCGCTCCTTGAAAGGCTACAGCACCGAGGGAAAATGTGGTCCTCAGTGTGCCGCCAGGGGCAGGAACTCTGGCACTGGGAAGGGAACTGGTGAGGGCTGCGTTTGTGTGTGTGTAGATGTGAGATAAGGACTGACCTACCCTTCACCCCAAGCCGAGCCTGAACTCCTCAAAGCTCACACAAGGTAAGGAGACTCTTTGGGAGAATGTTGGGGGGGAAACATGCCAGACCGGCAAACTAACTGGTCTGGTCCAATGCTGGGAGCAGATAAACTGTGAAAGACCATACACAAGATGCTTCTGTTCCAGACAAAACCAGGAAGCAGTGGGATTCCTACAAAACAGTGCMATCTCATGAGCTTTCTGGGTCCCAGACCAACAACCTGGAAGAGTACTGGAGAGCTTCTCCTTCGGTTTCTTAATGGGGGGCAGAATTAGCTCACATTCACTTTTTGGTTTAGGGATCTCATTTTTTGTTTGTTTTATGTTCAGGGTTCTCATTTTTTTTTTTCCCACTGGCAGGTAACAGGGGCATGTTAAAAACAGTGTGAAAAGGAAAAATCTGAATCAATAAAATGCACCTGATTCATATTGCCACTGGCATATTTACAGAGACTAGGAAAGAACACTGTGGTGTCTCAGAGGGTGTTTTCCAGCAAACGCAGGCCAAGAAGCAGCAGCTCCTTCGTACCCATCTTATGTCTTTATGAAAGTAAATTAATGGTGCCAGAGCACCAGCAAGAGACAGTTTGCCTGGTTTGCTAACTATAGAGGGTGCCTCACACAGACAGGACCTTTGGAAGTGAGTGGAGATTTTCTTCCAGATCCGGGCTCTTATACCACCCTGCAAGTAAAGATTTAATTTGTATCAGCTGGGAAAGGAGGGCAAATGACAAGTTATCTGATGCACATTAATGTATTGGTGTCCTTTAGCTTCAGCTGGGAGAATTTGCTGTGGCTGGGGTGGTTCTTAGTAGCACCCTCTTGGGTTGGGAGCCACTGGGCCACAAGTGTGGTAGCTCTGGCAGTGGTGTGAAGTGGAAGCTTCCTTGGTGTGTGCACTGATCCCTTTCATGTTGGTTTGCTGAACAGATTCCTGTRCTTTAGTTTGCTATGCTGCAAGCAGTCTGTGGCTACTGACCTATCTCTGTTTTGGTTATGGAAAATTAATGGTCACCATGGGAAGTGTGGAGCCAGCATGTTTCSGCTCCAACAGCATGTACTGCCCTGGCGGGTGGTTAGGCCCATGTCTCACTCTCTAGTTGTGTGGTTGTGGCAAAATTGTATAGTGAAAGCGAATTTCTTATAAAAATCTTTATTTTCCCCTGAGAGAAAATCTGAGAGAACCTGATGGAAAAATGCCTTTGGTCTTAATGGTGCCCTTGAGTCGCCGCTGTTTGCCTGAGCCCAGGGAATACGCTGGGCAAGGAACAGGCTGGTGTTAATCCCCATGGRTGGACGCCAGGCAAGCTGCTGGAGGAGCCCCTGGCTCCTGGCATCGTGTGCTGTGCTTCGTCTGGGAAAGCAGTTGCTGTGGGGAGAAGATCTTTCCTAGGTAGACTTCCTTTTTGGGGGGGTGGAAATGGGAAGGAGCTAAACTATCAGCAGGTTTGAACAATAAAAAACCCAAACAAATAATAATAAAAAAGCATTCCTTAATACTAATCAAAAAAGCTGCAGTGGGTTCCTAACAGAGGATTTGTTGCCTACAGACCTGGTGCTGTGACTGCTGCTTAATTTCCAGCGGAGATGAGCTGGCTGGTCAGACAGGAGGTCACATACCGGAGCGGGAAGGCGAGATGCAGTGCCTGCCAAGGCAGCAGCTGGCGAGAAGGCGGCTGGGCTGCGCAGCGTCAGCGCACACATGAGCAGTGGGGAAGCGTGAGCCCAGCTTCAATGCTTGTCAATGGCACCTCGTTGACTTTTAACGCTTCCTTATCGTGTCTGCRCTCACCTCGTAGCGGTGCTGATAAAATGCCATCGCTGGTGTAATCTCCTCCACAGTCCTGCAGAAAATGTTGCAGGGCACGAGAAGCCGAGTCGCCCGCAGCCGGCAGCCAGTATGGGACTCAGATCCAGACTACGGTAATAAAGAAATGGCTCTAACCTGAAATAGGGCTGGGACAGAATAGCTTCCTACATGTGTGCACACCAGATGTTCCTGATCTGCTGATGCGATTGGCAGGACAGTGCACGAATTTTGCGTTAGCGCAAGAGTTTGCTGAAGCTGGGATAGCTATTGCCTTTCAGTACATGGTGGAGTTGCAAATGTGAGCAGCTTGGAATGATTCCAGCGTATTGGGGGTTAGCTATAGAGAACGTGGTAATGGCAAGGAATGCACAGACTTTCTGTTGTCTTGCTTTCCAGAAATASCTGATTTCTCTCTCTCAGGATGTTGAGTACCTGAGCTGGTTCCTGTGCAAACCTTAACTATCACTAAATCTGTTGTGTGGCGGTTGTATTTTTATTTATTTGTTTATTTTTGAGTATGTAATTGCTATTTGCTTCTCTGGTAAGGTCCAGAGCAACTTTGCAATTCTTTTTTACAGGCAAACAACTTGCAGTGATGCTCTTGGGGGACTCCTTGTTATGGGAGGAATTCAGGACCCCTGGATATAAAACACCACAAGCAACTACTGAGCAAGTAAGTCATTTTGGAATGTATAAATGGTGCCAAACTCATGCAAAGAATCTTGCTACTAAAGGCAAAAAAAAAGTTGGAGTTCGTATTTTCAGCCAGTTGCATTACATGAATTTTCATTTTGAATGGGAGTATTCAGATGCTTAAAAATGTGTGTGTGCTTTTAGAGGCTGCTAGATATAAAGTATCCTTCTTGTGAACTGGAGAGAAAAATCGAGATGTCAATGTTATGCTTAAGAAAAAAATTCTGAAAAATGAAAAAAGATCACCTTAGAGATTTTATCAAATGACTTGGGACTAAAGACATTCACTTTTTTTCATGGTTTGAGCATGTGATTTCAATTTTACTGGTGCAGCTAGTTTAAATGACGAAAATTGAAACAAGAGCCTCAGAGGAAGGAACTGTCAGGAACAACAAAGATTGTGCTTCCAGTGAAATCGATTACAATGAAATGTTTAAATTTTGTTGACTTGATGTTTCCCTTTTCCAACTCTGCTCAGAAAAGCAGGCTTTTGCAGCTCTCAGCTTAGGCTTTTCTTCAGCTCCACTATGCTGTTCACTGACTGTTCCTATCCCATATCATTTATGTAGCACTAGTGCTATAATCATCCCTGAAATCAATTCCACATGCTGCAGACTTGGCTGGCTGGAGCAAACTCCGATGTTCCTTGGGTTCATGTATCTTTGGCGTGTTCTTTCTCTCTGATTCTGACTTGGATATCTTGAAGACAATTTTCAGTTCCACCATTGCCAAGTTCCTCTCATCAAAAATATCTAGTGCTGTTCCAGCTACCTTTAGGTCTTTATTATTTTCTCTCACCATTTTTTTTCTCCCTCTTCCTATGCTTTTGAACCATTCTCTTCCATGGTTTTCTTTCTGATTTTTATTGTTATTGTTTTGTTTTGTTTTGTTTCTGACCAGCCTCTTGTGCTACTATCTCTTTGTTCCAGCTTCTCCCCTTTTCTCCAGTCTACCATCACCTACTACTAATATATAGAATTCAACATTTGACCTTTTCCCAAGACCTCTCTTCATCACTCCCAGACATTTCACAGTTCTCCCTGATAGCGATATCCAGATTAGCATATATTTTCTGTAACCATGTTCTGTCTTGAATAGGCACCAGCCAAATCTCTCCGATCTCTCTAAAACCTGATTTTTTTGGGGGGTCTTTTTACTTTTAACTGAAAAACTCAGCAGTCCTGTTGCCCTGCTTATGGCCCTCGGCTTCCTGCCTCCCACTCCTCTGCTACCTCCAAGATCCTACTAAATTACCCTTGACATCCTTCCCCTTGTTATTCCTTCTGTGGCTTCCTAGTGGCTTCTTCCATCAGGTTGCAGCTTCACTACATGAACTTTGTCCCAGTCTCATGGATGTCTGCTATCTTTTTGTATTTAATGACTGTGTTTATATTTGTAATACAATGCTTCAGAGACAAAAAAAAAATTATCTAATTCCCCCTGAATTAAATACTGATTAACTGCTCAGCTCCTGGTTATGCACCTGGAAAATTGTTAATTGTTTTCCATGCCAGTATGCCACCTGGCAACCTTTGCTAGTACCCAGATTCCCTAAGACGCCCCACTGATGTCACCTCACCCTGAAAGTCTGTGGCTTTTGTAGGTAATGTCCCCAAAGTCTGCATTTTGGTAACAGCCTGTGGAGCTTGGTACCTAGTTCTTGTTTAAGTGTCCTGGACTCCATAAGCAAGTTGTGTCTCTGCCTTTCTGACTGTAAGTGCCTGATTTCATTTGGGTTTTCACTCAGAAAAGGCATACTAGATTGGTCATTGCCCTGTTCAGGGCTGGCAGAGAGAGTAAGTATTGTCTAAGGCCAGGTTTAATTCTCTTCTTTTCTTGGAGGATGGGAAATGGCATCCAGCATCTTCATTCTAAAATCTGACAGCTGTGATAATGATAAACTGAATGTTCAGGGAATCAACAGTGCAATGGGATGTGCATAATATTAGGCTAAGCTGCTATGGGAGGGCATGGAGAAGGTAGAGCTTTTTATGTCCCTTTGGTAATTTGTGCATGTGAAAGCATGGCTTAAGAGTATATGTGAATGTAATAACTTTGATGAGAATGAGAGAAGCTAAAAGAAGGCATGAAATACAGTTGTGTGGGTTCTTGAATGATTTTTTGAGGACCTAGAAGTAACAGTTTTCAAATTGCAGTCTAGTGCTTGCTCAAGTCAAGGGATCAGGATGCTGCAGAACGTGGGAGAAGGGTGCTGTAAGCCAGACATGTGCTGGGTCATCAGCTGCAAAATAGTGAACACTTGTTAGTGGGTTCTTGGGACTTCTGAGGGATGATGGTGCAGCTGTCAGGAAGATGTGACTTAGGCATAAATGCTAATGTTGCAGAAATGGGAATGGAGGGTCATGTGTTTGAAAATAAATGGAAAGGATACTGATGGTTATTTGGTAACCAGAAACTTAGATGATCAAAGGGTTTAATAAGTCTTTCTGACTTTGTCTGCCCTTCCAAAAATGTACCATAGCTATGAGGAAGGTCACCTCCCATTTACTCTGAGATGTTAATCACCCTTTTCGATATAGGTGGCCTATCAGGTTGCATAGGCTGGGTAAACACGGAGCTATATGATAGCACATTTGCTAGCTGCAGGATCTAAAGGTAAGATCAGTATCTGGAAAGCCAAGATATTCATGAGGGGAGGCAGGATTCCTGGTCTCTTCAGCTGTTTGCCCTGAAAATGGAAGGAGAAAGCATTTCAAATTCCAGAAGTCTTTGCAGGCCCAAGGCTATAAACAGGTTCTTCCTGTATGAAGCAATAAGAATCTAACAGTAACAAGGAGGTGTCTGCTTTTCCATACAGGTCAAATATTACTGGAATATGCTTTTGTGAGGGGAATGAAGACCATCAGTCAGATGAGGACAGGAGATCCAGTGCTACTGGCATGGATGATTCTTGCAAAAAGAAGATGGGTATTGAAGAAAAAGATGTGGGAAAAAGAAGAAATGAATGACCAAGCAAAG